TCATGCAGTTACTTTTTTTTGTTTGTTCAAATTATTATTTCTCGTTTGTTTTCATGCCTCATTCCAAGCGCAATTTATAAAATTGTTTTAAAAACTTCTCGGCATTCCGATGCTGCAGTTACGTGCTTATATTGTTTTTGTCCCACTAATAGAAAATTGTTTGACGACTTTTATTAGAACGGTTTAATGAAACTGCTTAATATTACATTAAAGTTACAAGCTAAAACGAATAAAGATAATGTAAAAACACATCTTCATTCTCTCAAAATCAATTATATAGGAAAATGTCGAGAATTCGTTTCTAGTATCTGGAACATGTTCTCTCTCTGAGTTTATGTTTGTGTGTGTGTGTTTGCGTGTAAAGTTGTCTCGCTCTCGCATGAAATTATTAAATTGGAATGTATGGGATTCTGGGAAACGAAATCGATTATGTCATTGGAATGTGTTTGTGTAGTCGTCTCCGTCGTTTTCGATACATAAGCAACGACGAACAAAAAAAAAATGGCACGAAATCGCACGGTTCGGTAATGCAGGTTTCTTGTTTCTGACACAGCCTCGCACGACAATCCCAGCAATTTTTAGAAAGTATTTTCCGATAATTTCCAATAAAAGGAACAGCACATAAGATGTATGTGGGAGATTGTTAATGTGTATTGGCGATGAATCGTCATGGAACATTAGTCGAAGTCGAATGTGTCTGTGTGTGTGTATGTTTTACTGAATGGTCCATTGAATTTTAATTAAACAGATGCTTCATGCTACAGAATGATCGCATAACAAACATTTAATTCCCGAAATTGGTATCTGATTAGACGAGTTACGAAATTTTGCAGAAATCACTTCGTGGCGGACTACATGCAAATTGTTGCAGTATTATTTTTGTTGTTGTTTTTTTTGCTTTCATTTTTTTTTCTCTTGGAGGACCTCTTTGTATTTGTATGTTGTGTTTTTTTTTTTCGTTGGTTTGGTTTGTCCTTTATTTTTGCTGTGGAGAAGCCGTCCCGAAGGTCAGCAGCGCTTGGTGAGCAACCGGTCGGTCCGGGGTACCGACAACGATGGCCGGGCTATATTGCAGAATCTCATTTGCGTCCCATCGCATCGGGCCACGATTTATTACCATAACACTGAGCATTTCCAAGCCCCTCGAATACCCTGCCTGCACCGCTCCATCCTTCCATCGGTCCGCTCTCCTTGCTCTTTCTTTAAAGATTCGGTAATGAATATCGGCCCGCCTAATCTCGCCCCTCATCGTTTTAACGAGACGCATTCCATCCACTTATCGAATCTTTGTCCTCCTCCTCCTCCTCCACCTCTTCCTCCTTCGCCGCGTCCTCCATCTCATCTACTCTTTTAAGAAGTCCTCTTCCCAACTCGGTGCCAACAAACTTTCCAAACACACGACATCAAGTCGAGAAACAAAAAAAAATAATCAGAGATGAAACAAGCACCCAAAGTAAATTGCGAATATTCTCCAGTTCCAGAAGAAATTCCCACACATCCAAATCATTTGGACCTTCCATTTAAACAACCCCAAACCAATGCTACCGACTCCAAACTTGAAACATACCAAAATAGAATACAATATGCAACATACTGGAATATTGAACTTAAGGTTGATATAACCCTTTGTAACAGTTGATCGTATTCTAGATTTTAAACAAATCAACAAACCATTAAAACAAATACTTAAACAGATGATCAATAGAGATGTCGTGCAAATATTACTAGATGAAACACTTTAAAAAAATCATCCGTTTAACGCAGATGTAAAATAAAAGATGATTTGGATGAAATGATGAAATTAAGATTCTCACAAAGTACAATAGATTATGAAGATGATAAAAAATTGCATGTGGTTGATAATTATGAATTGATAAGCTTTCTCAATAATACCGGATCTGGGTGCTTTTATCACGAAATCAGCATTTTTTTCAAGATGTGTTAGTAGGACCTTTTGGAGCATCTGGTATAAATGATTGCACGAATGGCAACTGCAATTTATCCTCAATATGGTAAAACTAGATTTATTTTATTTAAAAAAAAGTTTGATAACTAGTAGAAAAAACTGGTTTAAGTGTTTAATGCTTTCGTTTTGAAAGTGATGGCTGTAGCATATCCTGCCTCATGTATAATTTAATTATTAGATTACCTATAAACATTTCATTAATTTTAATCATAAAACTAATAGTGATTAAAATTGAAAATTATCATCAAAATCTGTACAAATTCAGGCCCAAATTTGTACTAAACGCTGATTTTATTTTTATCTTAAAAAAATGTTCATTTGTAATGCAATTGTGAATGCAATTATTTAAAATATCCGTTAATTTGATGATTTCAGTGATTTTATACTTAAAGTGTTGAATTTTGAACAGCATAAAAACAATTCACCACAATTTAAACCATAAAATGAGAAATCAATAACTTCTATTATATTTGAATTAAATCAATTGGTATATCATAAAAATATCTCGTTCATTATAAATGTCTCATTAAACAAAATTATTAATTTTAGTTTTGGTCTACAGTATGTTTATAACTAAAAAAATAAATTTATTTTATGTTTTAAAAAGACACAAATATAATAAAATAAATGCATGTATTTAGAGCAGATTTACGTGCGTTTAATATATTCAATCCGTGTAATTCCCACTTCTCCTTTTGCTTTCGATGTAGTCGAACCATTTTGAGATAGTTAGTTTCTTAATAACAATGTGCGGTGGATGTAATTAAATATTTGGTTAATTGTATATTTTCGGTTTCGGGTTATACGGTGGACGAGGAGACGCTGGTTAAAAAGTAAAAAAAAAACAAAACGAAAAGATAGTAATTAAATGTGCAGTGTGTTCAGTCCCGTGCTTTGGCTATATTGTAATTATACGTTGTTCCGGTTTATGTGCGTCGGGTTGGGGTTGGAGGGTTCGTTCGTTCTTCTGCTGATGGTTGTTTCTTGTTGGCTGGTTCTGTAATTATAGTCGTACACAGCACACACTCGGGTTGGTCGGTGGTTCTCACTGCTCGCCGCCGTCCAGTTCCAAAATTATAAACCGAATGATTGAAATTGCATAAATCATCTGAACGCACGAACGAGAAGGGAACACAGGCCTGAACAGGCGATCGGATTTGATGATAGTAGAGAGACTGTATGAATGCAGTATACAAGTATATATACATACACATATATATGTGCGTGTATGGGTGAGTTTGTGTAGTGATGATGATTATGCCGGACTCCCCAACCACACCCAGCGTTTATCAAAATTACAAGTTTTGTGAACACTGCAAGGACAGAAGAGAAAAAAAAAACAATACGAAGGAGTGTGGGAGAGAAAGAGAAGGAGAGTGAGTGAGAACAGAAACGAAAGTCGAAGCCCCCCATCTTAAAGCCATTGATCGTAATGTCCGCTCCCATGCACATATCCAAAATAAAACTGGAATCAAGAACTTCACCCCTAATAATTTTGAGTGTAACTGCGACCGAATACAGTCGCATCATTAAATACTTAGTCATTGCAGCAGACTCTTGAAAAGAAACAATTAAACTATTTGGGTTTTATCTATTGAATAGAACCGTTATTATTAAAAACTACCTGTTTATTGGTAAACTAATTTCATCGAATGTTAATTCATTCTATTAGAATTTTGCAGTTATTTATCTGAAATTGTTTACGTAATTGTATAATTGTTGCAATAAACATTTCTGATGTTATTATTTTTTTGTTGATTGTGAAAATAAATGAATTTTTTTTTTAAAGAGTTGAACGATTTGTTCGTAATCCGAACTTTTCGTTAACCGATCACCCACTGTATATATTTACTTTAATTTAATTTATCTTTATTTCGCACATGCTGCAACTGATATTTTATAGAAATATTACATTAAACTATAAGCAAATGGTATGTAAATCACTTTTTTAATCATAATTTAGTTTGTTACCAAATACACAAAATAGCAAATTCAATTATTAGTTTAATTCAAATATGTACTTGTTATAAAACGATAACGTAAGTATAAAAAATAGCTGATAAATATATTTTATTCAAAAACTAACATTGTTAAACTTTCTTTTAATATAATGTTACATTATGTTATTCTATTGACGTTGTTGGGAAAAACCAGAAAGGCTTTAATTTTATTTCTCGTTTTCGCTGTAATCATTTATTTGCTGTTTCTGCTTTTATTTATGTATTTCTTGTTGGAAAGATTTGCAGATGAATCATTCGGCCGAGATTTAATTAAACCGCACATACACATACACACACACACACATCCATCGGATCCTCAGTTTCTACGAAATTTTCTCACGGCTCTCTTACCTTTGTTTTCTGTTGCTGCGAGCAACATCACACTGCGTAATCCGAAACACAAACATTCGCATAATACGAAAAGAAACAAATGGGTTTTTATCATCAACGTCACAGTTAACTTTTATTTATCATCGAATGACTGTTCAACGGAATTTCTTTATTATTAATATTAAAATTTTTCATTTAAAAATTAATAAAATAAACAACATATTTGAATAGGCTTAAATTAATTTAATAGTTATTATCTTTCATCCCACCAATAAAGATGACATCAAATTTAGATAACACATTGCCACATAATAAAATGCACGAATTTCAATGTCAAGTTAGTTATTTGCAACTGACATCATTAAAATGTTAGTTATCGATTTGCATATTGGTTTTATTTCGTTATTCTGATGTCCATAAATATTTTATTGATGAAAAGGCAAAGCCTCCGCCATCTATTGAGCTTCGCCGTAAGTACAATTATGTATAAAACGAAAACTATCATGAATTGCTACAATACAGATTTCTTTAAAATATTAATCTTTAATCTCATGATACAATATTATATTGATCCAATTCTTCAAGCCTGGACCTGGGGACCAAAGACGCTGTGTGGTGGCGTGCCCTCGCAAATTTGAAAATCGAGTGGCGCCATCTTCAGTGGTCTCTATGCAACCTTAATTCAAATGAAAGCAATGGAAAGCAGTATACCAAAACATAACCTAAATATTTACCGTCTAAAGTTTGAGCTTTGTTGCGTATGGTTGTGCCATCGATATTCTCGACATTTATTAAATTTAAATGTGATATTTTACATATATAATTTACTTTTATATTATCTAATATTACTATTTATTGCAAATTATACAATTACATAAATAATTACAGGCTTCTCTGTAAATTTAGCCAACTAAATGTTCATTTATATTATTACAAGTTATATTAGTTAATAATTTTAATACTACTCACTAAATCTAAAAATAATGTATTGAAATAAATAAAAATTACTAATATATTATTATAGTAACATTCGTTACTATATGATTAGCTAATTTTTAGATATTTCCTATGTCTCTACTAATTAATTTCTCCATTTTGCAGAAGAAATTACAGAATGAATCAAATATGAATCAACAAGTACTTGGGTAAGTGGGTATCGAACCTACTCAATCCAGCATGTAAAAGTACCAACAAAGTCAGGAACAAAAAAGGATATTTTGTTGGAATAGGCCTAACTCAATTCAACCCCTGTAATGGCAAACGGAAAGTGATCTGAAGCATATTGGAGAGGTGCAGTATTTTCAGTACAATATCTGTATTTTTGGATATACATCCTGGAACTGGACAAGTGTATCTCCTTTCTGAATAGTTATATTTGTTTACTGTTGTGCAATACATTTTAAATATACACTTACTGGAGTTTACTTGTTGTTCAGTTTATTTAAATCCTAAATGAAATTCTAAATAACCTAAAATAAATTAGTGAAATTTATACCACCTTATAGTCCTCGCAAATATTCCTTCAATCAGACTGGAAAGCTAAAATAAATTAAATATATCCAATGGGACTTACAAAACAACCTTGGGAATAAAGAACTAAAAGTAAATCTAACAAGGATTTTATCGCCATCCTACTAATTTAACAATACTCACTAATTAATAGACTGATCAGTAGTAATACAAGTCTTAAGAAAGACTAAAATGTTTAACAATAATAATTTAACTTATTTGGATCAGAACAAACTCGGTTAAAAGTAGTCAAGCAGTCGCGGATACAAATATAAATAGTGCGAAAACGTAAAACAATAAAAACTATTTGATAGGATAAAGTATTTTTTTTATTATTTTAACTTTCAAATTATTTGGCGCTTTTATATTTGCTGGTACTTGTGGCGCCGCGTTATGTGCTCTCCATGTACTAAGGAACGCCATCGCATTCATGAGAATGCGCAAGCGCGTTTGACTATTTTTGACGCCATTGTTTCAGAAACGTTTGTGATCTGTGGTACAGTGTTCAATTTTTGTATTTTTGCAATTATCCTACTTTTAAACAGGATATCTCAATGTGATAAATCATTTATCAGTTATACCAGTTTGAAACGCGATATCTCAATGTAATAATTGCATAACCTATAT